CTCAGAGGCTCTTGGAGCTTGGTTTTCAAAGGAGCTGAGGTGTCAGCAGCTAGAACCGCAAAATCTGTCTCCTCCACGGCCTCCTGAAAGCACTCAGGTGGACTTTGCCAACCCCAGCTGCTGCTCTCCTGCCTTCCCACACCACCTCTGTTCTGATCCAGGCAAATTAGGCTGGTCTTGTTGGTCAAATGACAGAAATGTACTCACCACGGTCCAGGTCCTTGACATCAGCCACAAAATTCAGCCTGCTCCTGGAGTCACCTTGCTGTGCCCGTGCTGTTAGGCAGTGTCTGCCCGGCCCTGGAGCAGGATGCACTTCACAGTAAGACTCTTGTAGRAGCAAACAGAATTTCCAAGAGGAAATAAGTTTTATATAATTGGCTTTGGATGCCCTGAGCACAACACGAGGAGCACATTTACCTGGAGGACACACAGCTCTACAGGCTGTTCCTTAAGTTGTCCATCAGTTCTTGATCTCAGAGAGCATCAACCCAACAGCAGACTCTGGAAACTGTCTTAGCATCTCTCTAGCAAAGTATTTCTGTATAATGGTGGATTCTGTAAGGTTTATACAGGTACACAATTTAATGCAACCAAACTACGCTAAGGAATATAGGAAAGTGCCTTTTGTTCATCATGGAAAATACCTCTGTACAGGTACTTTGTAGGGTGCTCTGTAGGGCACAGACTCCCCTCCTCTTTCTCAGCTAAAATAAAATACAAAGTAATCACTCCCTAACAAGCAGATATACATACATTAAAAAATATATACACAGACATTCATAAAAACAATAGGAAGAAATACTTCCTTGTGCCCTCCTGTGTCCACTGCAAGCACTGTTTCCAGGCCTTAGCTGTTCTTTAGCTCTTATGGCTCTATTTCTCACAGCAGGGCAGATGCTCATTCTCCTTGACTTCTTGGTGCTAGAAACCTATGCACAGAAAACAGCCAAAGACATCCCAGTTCTGCGSCTGGGCTGCAGCACGAAAGCCAACATACCCAGCACTAAAACCAGGCTCACGCCCTCAGGCGAAGCGCAGCTGTGCGCGAGCGCGTGCTCATGCAACACTGCTTTTGTTCCCTGGAAGAGAATTACAGTAACGAGCAGCTTCTGCACAGGCACCAGCGCCCATGGAAGCTCTGAGTGCAGAYACGAAGCACTCAGAGCAACACTCTGTTCCATTCGAGCAGCTCGACAGATTTTAAGACCTGCTGCAATCCTTTCTCCTGACCTCCTGCATGACACAAGCCACAGAATTCATGGGATTCCTACATCTGACCCCAAAGCACCTGACCCAAATCCCTGCCATAAAGGAGTAACACACTGACTCTGACAGCTAACTATCTCTTTAGGATTATGAATTATTTTTAACACTGAATTGTCACTGGCCCTTACAGTGCATTGACCCGCTACACTGAAGAGCCACAAAGTTCTCATGCTCCTGTAGAGCTCAATGTTTCTTTGTAGTAAGCCCCTAAATTTCCTTTTTTGAAACAAAACGGATACTATGCCAGTTTTGTTTTGGTTTGTTTTTTTATAGAAACACTTTATTGCTGCAGTCAATAACCCTGTGTATCACACACAAATAACCAGTTACAGTTTAAGAAACTAAAAATTATTCTGCAAGTGGTAATACTGAGAAATAAATGTACAGGAAAAGATACAAAACTATACATTTAAGTTACTAGAAATTTACTAACTAAAAAAAGTCTGCAGAAATCTCTTGTATAAACTATACAACACATGCCAGTGTCAAGTTGCTTAACATTATACAATTACCTATCTACAAATGTTTTACCCCAATAAAAGATCAGCTGCAATTTTTTTTAAACAGTTTWCTCCTATACAAAGACAAGTGCTTTCAGTACTTCACTGTAATATACAGACACTGCAATATCTCAAAACTAGAAAATAATCACAAAATAAAAGGTCCTGCTTAGAAGTTTTCTTTGCATAACCAGGATAATCCTGTGACAACCCAGCCAGCAATGTTGCTGTGTTTGTATTTGCCCCGTTCCACCTATATTTGAGAGGAACCCAACACGGGGTCACAGGCCTCCCTTTCCCTGCTGGAAGCAGGGGAATAAGCCAGGAAATGCAACACTCCTCTGCTCGAGAGGCTCTGCAGAGCTGGTTCCTGATTTGCAACAGAAGTTTATGCAACCAAATACAGGCCGGCAGGAATCAGCTCCTGCGTGTTTGGTTGGAAGGCCAGTTACTGCTCCTTCATGGGATTTCTCCTGCTGCAGAGTGGAGCCCCAGCACTTCTCCAGCCCCAGCAGGCTCCCTGCAACCTTTGCTGAATCCCCCTGCGGAAGCAAAGCCAGCCTCAAACCCTTCAATCACAAGAAGGTGTCTGTAGGTCTGGCTGATCTCTTCCAAGCACAGGGCAACACTTAAAACTCCCAAGTACAAGGTTAGAGTTGAGGAAAATCCTGAGATTTCATAGGGATTTATTATCGCATAATCTCTTAAAGTGCATCACTTCTGTAGCGCTTGTCAGCACTTCTAACTTAATGCATGTTCATCATCTGGCAGATATACCAAATAAGATGCAGCAGGAGAATTTCCTTGACACAGCTTGTGTGTTTTGGGACAGGACTTTGCTACGTCAATCAAAGGGAGTTGGGTCAGCTGCCTAGACCATTTATTTTCATGGGGCATATCAGGAAAGGCTCTTGCTGTCTAGGGAGGGTTAGAGTAAATGATATTAAGCTCTATTCCCTCTGTTCTCCAAGAAGTCCTAGGGAACCTGATTTTGGTCTTGGGATCATCACCAAAAGAGGTCAGACTTTTACTCCAGCCATTTGTAAAGTTGCCAGGAGAAGGTTTGGGAATGGCTGGTCTGGCAAGGAACGGTCTGGCCAGTGCTGAGGGCCAGGTGSGAAGGACGGAGCTCACCTGAGCCAGCAGCAGTGCCTTGCAGCRAGAAGTTGAGAGCAGGTCAACAGAGTTTCCTGTAGGAGAAAGGAGGAAAAAGCACCATTCTGCCTTTCTACACTGTTTGACGGCACCACGCGTAAGTAGAAAACTGCACYTCTCAAAGCCCTCTGTTAACACCAAGAAGCAAAGGGAGAGGTGTCACCAGCGTAAGCAAAAATCAATGACAGAGCCAGTGGGATCTGTTCTGCAGCCCTTGCTGATATAAACAAAGATATAAAAAAATGAAAAATTAGGTCTTATTTTCATTGAGAAAAGAGGTATCAGCAAAAAAGAACAGTTGGTTAATGGCAGCACTGACTGAAATAGTTTCATCTGCTGCTTGTTTTTTTTCCTTCAGCCAATTCTGCTAGAGATGATTTTCCTTCCCAAGATACATAAGGGCACAGCAAAAGCCATCAGTAACTTGAACGTGCTGAACACTAGCTAGCACATGCCACACAGAGCTTCCAAAATACCAAACAAGATTTTACAACGTTTCGCCAAGAATCACTGATGACAGTGATTGAAACAGGACAGCATGTAACAGTACACCATGTAACAGTACACCATACTGGCACTTGTCAGAGCACCAGTGCCTCAAACATGAGAGCTGAGAAACAGGTTTTCTATCAGAACTTGTCCATTTTCATTTCACCCACTAGCCACAGATCAGATGAGAATTCACACAGCATCAGTCAGCAGCTGCTTCTCTGCATCTTGCAGGTGTAACATGGGCACCTCATTACAGATGTGTAAGCCTTGCACCCGTGGGCATTTCAGAAGAACATGATGAAGGTGTGTAAGACCTGATATTTAACCCACCTGAGATTTTTCCAGKGAACCTTTTCACAAAAATAATAATAAAAAAAAAAAAATCAAAGCAAAGACTGTTATTATTACCTGGACTCTAAACAACAGAACAGGAGCAATCACTGCAGAGTTCAGGGAAGGGCCCCAGTAATTGCACTTAGAGTTATGGCAGGCGTAGGCAACACTCTCTACGTGCACATTGCACACTGTGATGAAGCCTGCTGTGCAGGTACCAGCAGGGCATGCAGGGCTTGTCTGCTTATATCACAAAGGTATGGTGCACCCTGACATCCAGCATAAGATACAAGTCCAAGTCAGTGCAGCTTTGCTAGGACTGTCTAGAGGTGTTGCTTTTTCAAACATCTCAAAAACAAGGTACCATGTTGTTCGTGAAGATCACAGAGACTTAGCTTCAAGCRTGAGGTCTCTGTCTCATTCTCACACTTATCCTCGAACAGCTCTTTGAAACCACTCATGTGCCTTCTCTTCGCATAGTCCCCTCTCTGCCATTTAAGAAATCTACTGATTTTTAAAATAAAACTTAAAAATAGTTTAATAATCACCTTCTAGGGAAACCTCACTGATCTCTTGCTGGTCTTCTTCTTGGGGACAAAGTAAAGCAGAAAATTTCATTATAACTTATCTTCCTGCTAAAARTTGTATTTGAAAAAGGACCAAGTAAAAACTGAACTGGACCTTAGGATATAGCTCAACATCCCAAAAYGTAATAAAACTTTTAACCGAGATGTCTGGCAACTCTTACTAAGACTGAAGACATTTTCATTGACTCTGCTTTCTGCTTGACAGTGCTCAAGGRAGAAAGGTTTTCAGGGGCAGTTTTCATCATCTTCACAGGCAGAGGGGCTCTGGGGGTTGACTTTTACCAGGGCTTCGTTTCCATTCCAGTCACACGGACGGCAGATGTGATTTACACAAGGGCTTGAACAGAGACAGCAGTTCAGGGAGTAACGACAGACATCCCCATCTTCAGGCAACTCCGTCTAAACCTCTTCACACTGATTTTAACTGTCCCTTTTCTCATTAAGGCAGAGAGCTTAAAAAGTTAGCCCCAGATGCAACACAACAATTCCCATTTTTTCCTAGCCATGCAATGCATCACYATGAGCACTCAAAACAGGCAGGTCATTCTAAACTCATCTACTTAATGCAATATTTACTTCTTAGACTTAACTTTCAACATCTTATCTCACAATGAAAAAATCCCTGGGTAATTCACACAGGACACAGCATTAATGAAGGGAAAACAAGTTCAGCTGTATTGACTAATAAAGGTCTTTTCACATTTTTACCAAGGYAGCACCAAACCCTTTGGTTTGAATGCACGTTACATCAGGTGTACTTGTTCAGGTCTGCCGGTGGTAGGAGACACCTCTTTAAAACAAGCAAACAAGCAGAAAGCTAAATCCAGCCCCCAAAACAGAGCACCGAATCCATTATGCACTGAAAACAAACACTTTACACATCCACTACTCTCCATGTACAAGTCACAAGTGCAATATCCTTTGAAAACATCACTCCTCAAAGGAAACCCAAAGAGGCAGCGTTTTTAGTGTTATGTTTAGTAAGAGAACGTGGGAATTTGCTGGAAATCATGTTGGCTTTTTTTTTTTAATTTTTTTTTTATAAGGCAAGAGGTTTATGTTCCAGTAGAATGGAGAGGGTAAAGAAAAAAAGAAATGTTTTCAAAATGACTTTCAATATTCTTTCAAGTTTCATTTTCAATGGACACACATATTACAAATTAAAGATTTTAAAAAGTGCTATATGCTTTGTAAGTCTCACCACAATATGTAAAGCATAATCTTACATCTGCTGCCTAAGACAAAATGTTAGTGGCAGTGTTAATGGAAGGTTATATTTTAGTCTCTCATTTCCCTCGGTGTCCGGATGTCTGGGACAACCTTCTTCGTTGTGCTAAAAAGAAAAAAAAAGAACAAAAAAATAGAACCAAAAAACAACACATATTCCAGATTCACTTTGAGTCATCTTCTACAGTAACAGACTCCACAGAGTTGATGACAGTTCGCTAGTGGTTTGCTTGATACCAAAACCAAGGCTCATTCTACCCAGTATCCTGTGGCTCTTTGATCAGAAAGTCCAAGAGACAAAATGTTGAGAGGTATGCAGCACTGTTAACCTACTGACGGATATGCCAAGGGGATTTAAAAAAATTCCAACAAAGCACAAATGTAAAAAAATTCATCTGACAGCCCTCAGCTGTTAGCTGATTTTACAAAGGTAGAGAAGTTTTCAGTAAACAATGATATTTTAGATCCTCCAGGACATACAGAAACATCCCTCCCACCCAGCAATCAGACGTGAAGGATTTCTGCAGAACAGTCTTCTGGCTCYGTGTAATGTGAAGAGTTTGTATCTGAATGGTGAACCCCAAGCATTTCTTTGCTTTCAAAGTTTGGCTCCATTAGTGCAGGTTTTTCAAAAATATTCTTTTTGCTAGTTTCCGGACAGTTTTGTACATATATTACTCGATTATAAGCTTTAAGTCTCTTCCACAGCTGTACGTACACTTTGCACTGTACGTACATAAACAGAAGTCCTCCAGTGAAACCAATAGCCACAACCACCAACTTAGTCCAAAACGGCCACTCTAGAATCCCTAGAAGGAGAGAAAACCATAAAAGACCAGGTCAGTATTGGCAATGTATTGACTGGAGCCCTCAAAGACATCCTTTAAGGAAATGGGCACAGGTCATTTTTCTTGTTTTGTTTTTGCCCTTTTCAGTCAAATGCACACAGGTTTCTCTGCTTGTCCATACACTGTTCATATCCTACATGCTTGTTCATATACTAAATCTATTCTCACCCACCAAAGGAGAAAAAAACCACAATTGCTCCTCTGGGTCTAAGCCCCCATGCAGCACAACTCCAAGCAGAGTTGAGACAACATTCAGCAATAAGTTTAGATTCCTTTACACCTGTTTTTAAAGGAAACTTTGATCAGATTATGAAAGGAATTTCACAGTCACGTTTCCTTTTGATAACAGGAGACTCAACTCAGTGACCCAAGAAGTCTGTTCCACTCAGTGATCATATAGTATATGAAGTCAATGGGAACCATTGCTAGGATTGAGCTTAACAAGTTCTTTATGTCAGAAAATTTTATCTGCATCAGACCCAATAACTTTCAGTTTAGAACTAGAGTTTCCCTTTTGATATGAAAACTGAAACTGCAAGTGTTGGAGACTTTGACTCATTCTGGCAAGCTTACTYCTTGTATTAAAAATAAGCACCAACACTTTCATCTGAATTTGTCTAGCTTGAACTTTTAGTCACTGGCTCTTGTTAAATCTCTATTAGCTACATTTAAATCAGAGATTACTTATTTTATACCCTTTCTGCTTATGWAGGGCCTGTATCCATGTAGTCTCTCTCCATTTCCATATAAGCAAGAACTTCTTTAGAGTGAGGGTGACAGCCCTGGAACAGGCTGCCCAGAGAGGTTGTGGAGTCTCCTCTGGAGGTCTTCCAAACCTGCCTGGATGCCGCCCTGTGCCACGTGCTCTAGCAGTCCCTGCTTGAGCAGGAAGGTTGGACTAGATGATCTCTAGAGGTCCCTTCCAACCTCAACCTGTGAAAATGATGGAGGACTCCCAAGTCCTCCGAGCTTTTACTGAGATACATGCCACTTGGTCTTTTGGAAACACATGGTAGCATGGGAAGAATGAAAATGCTTCTAAAATACAACGAGAAAACATGAGTTGTCCTGTGACAGGACAACTGACGAAATCCTGTTAGTGATTAATACCGCAGAACTGCTGATGAACAGGAGGCTGTACCTGATCCAGCCATAAGCAGCAACAGCACATGCTTGCCCTGTGTGGCCATAAGCATATACATACACACTACCTATACCTGCCACCTTGTTGAGGGGCTCCTCATTTAGAACCCAAATGAAGCCAGCACAGCAAGCATGGCAACAAGTATCAAATATTCAAACTATCACTGCCATATTCCTCTAAAATATTTATGGATTAAGATGAGCTGGAGGCTATAAATATTTGTAGATGTGCTTTTCATTATCATATAGCAACATTACTTTGAAGAGCCAGCAATTTTCACAGCTTGCCTTGAAACAGTTTTAATAGCCCCCAGCCTTGGTGGTTATAACCTGGCCCTCCCCGTGCCTATAGTCRGTGAGAGCTCAGCGGCTTGCGAGTCTTCTGCTACAGCTGCACATTTGCAACACATCAAGATAAGCAGACATCAACCTTGTAAGTTTACAGGTGGCATATTAAAGAAAATGAGCTGCTCACCAAGAAGTTAATACATCCCAGCAGTGGGGCAGCAGCCACTGCATGAACTTCACTAAGTCACCTCAGCACGTGAAGCACAGTTTTAAGCATTAACCTGATTTTTTTGTCTGCTTCCTGCATCAACACTTATTAAAATTTCTCCCATCTAACATATCTTACAGAAAATTTGTGCTGATCCATTTCAAACATGACTGTTTTGAAAAAATAATCTTGTTGATTTACCTTGGAGATTTGGATTAAAGGGCCTTTATTTCTCCTTTCTAAATCATCCTGTTTTTGTCTACCTAAGAGCAGCCAAAGTGGCAAACAAATGCTCACATCCTTACCAGCTCAGGAGGCTTTTCCAATTTTAAACCAAATTAGCTAAGCCAGAGCAATTTTGTGTCTGGCTACAGTGGATTAGCTCTTATATCTGTGCACTTCAGGCACGAACTAAATTGACATGAAACAGATTTAAGAGCACCCACAAACCAATTTGCTCTGATCTAGCAAAATTACTTTAAAATTGTGCTTTTAAATCAACCCAAATTCAGGCTAAGCCAAAACATCACCTGCACCCTCCCGTGCTCAGCATTATCTCTGCTCTTATTTGGGAAAAATAATTATTCCAAGAGGAAGAGAAGGAAGATAATGAAGCACCATACCAGTAGTCTGTCCCTGCTTTATCTCCTCGGCAGTCCTGTCTATCAGGACATATAGAGACCACACAACGCAGGTGATGGCGATGATATGGAATGTCACGGAGCACATGATCTTCCTCCTCTCACTGGCTGTCATCTGCAGCTTCTCCCACTGCCAAGAAATCCAGACACAGAGCAAGAGATGAGAAGTTTATTTTGGTTACTATTGTATATACATACCTGAAGAGAACACTGGTCACAACACAAAATGTCTTTTACTTCTTTGCATTCAGTTGCCACACATATTTACCACTACTCACAACAGTGACACTTGTGTCTTATTTTCAGAGTTTCAAGGGTTAATAAAATACTGAACCACACATGCCCTAAGAATAGGCAGCAGAATTGCAATGAGAGCTTTTGTAAGTGAGAGGGTGCTGCAAGCTAAGACCCTAGATTTTCATCTATTAATAATGTTTATACAGCCCCAACAGAAGTCATAAAATGTCTGTTAGGAAGGATAACAGGCGATCATTATAGATACTTCATAGACACTTACCCCTTCCAAACAGTTGAGGAAAAGAAAAAAAAAAAAGCCTTTATTTTTGACCAGAATCTCTAGAAGTTTTTTAAGGCGATTTTCTATGTATATGATGAAAGCTTTTGGGGGGTGGTTTCACATCATTCAGCATGGCTAGCTGGAAAGTAGATCAAGATGGGTCTTTCTCACACTTTCACAAAGTACTCAGTGGGACACATACCCTTGTCATTCGCATCTATGTGTGTCTAGAAAGGTGCATTTGATGGAGAAAAAAAGTCTTCAGAAAGGAGTCAGAACATGGAAGGCAGTAAGGATGACCTTAGGAATATGACCGAGATCACCCATCATGTTGAATTATCCCGCTGCTACAGCTACAAGATTGGAGACACTGTGAGCGTCGCTGTCTTGCCAAGAGGGGATCACTTTGGCCAGTCAGAGCTAGACCTGCAGGCAACCTAATTTCATCATGGCAGAAGAACTCAGGGTTTCCAGCAATGATATGCTAGACTCATGCTGTGCTAGAAAGCTATAGTCTTTCCATCTTCTTTGAAGATGACAGATCAAAACATTTCCTTTGGACTTTGTTATAAACAGAGAAGTGATTTTACGTCTAAACAAAGGTGTTTACTTCCTACAGAATGTATGAATTTATTCATTTATTTAGCCAAAATCCAAGTGTGTGAGCTCTATTTGTGAATGCTGTCACAGCACCACAAGAACTTAGACTAATTTTTTTCTTCTCTGCTCCACAGCTTCATCTCCCTCACTAAACTCTATCTTCCATGAACTGCTGGCACCCCAGCCACCAAACATCATCTCTCAAAGCAATATAAGCGCTAAGGAGCAGGCATTCTGCGACTACGCTGTAGCCCAAAGAGGAAACTGGAGTCTTTAGGTCCCTGCTGTCCAATTCTGATGACACAGCAAGCAGCACTTCCCAATCAAAGAGTCAGCATTTCTTTCTTTACTTTTTTTTTTTTTTTGTGTGTTGCTAAAGCAAAATTCAGCAGAAATTCAGACTTAGTGTTTTCTTTTGCTGTTGAAACTCAAAAAGGAAGCACCCCTCTATTGTCTCCATCTTTACTGGCCTCATGACACAATTTGTTCCTCAGTCTATTTCCTTCATATCCAAACGTTTGAATGCTTTGCAGACCAATAAATACCCTTTGCTACAAAACAGTCTTGTGATTCTGGGGAAGCTTAACTCAATTTCCACTCCGCAAAAAAAAAAAAAAAAAAAAAAAAAAAGGACAAGCTCTCTTATGTGTCCCATCAGCAATTAATAGCAATAATAACAATAACAATAATAATAACAGCAACTCCAGACTATTTCCTCCTGGCTGACAAGATACCACAACTGAAGAGTTCAGCATACGGTGCCACCTCTTCCTCTGGCTTCATCTGAGCTTCTGCAACACCCCTTAGATGAACTGAGAGTTAAAATTTCACCTCCTTCTGTTTATAGCTCCATCTCTATGTTCCGGCATCTGGTCTCTTTCCCACAACTGACTTGTTTAGAAATAACTAATGCTGTTGAGTGACTCTGTTTGGAAAGTGCCCACTAGCTTTTGCTCCACAGCGCGCCAGAATTCAGAAAATGCCACCCAGCTGCTCCAGGCAGAGCGAGCACTTTCTACACTCCAATGCTTTATGGCTGGGGTAGGTGAAGTGCCATCCCTACGGACAGGGACTGTGACACCCACTGTTGTAGCTCAGAGCTATTATGCTCTGCGCAAAGTAGGTATCAAGGAAAAAGCCACAGTTCTCAAAAGGCAATGATTCGCTGCAGTCATGAGCAGAAGTCTTCCTATCAACATAACATATTACGYCGTGTATTTTGCAAACTGCACAACTCTAAAAAATAGAGGTGTTTGAAATCTGCTCTATTTTCTATCAGAAGTCACTTCTAAGAATCTGACAAGCTCCCACAGCAGCTCTTGGAGGACTTCCCATATGACCTGATTTAGGATCACTACATTTGCATTTCCTATTTTTTCTACACTGAGGTTAGGGCTACTAATTTCTTTCTTTTTGTTAGATATGGCAAGATTTGTCAGTGCTATGAATACCACTAGTTTCCATGTCAAAATCCTGATGTCAAGTATCAATTGAATTTGAAAGCCAAGAGAAGTGTGGCAGAACAAAAAGGATGAAAATAAAAACTGGCTTTCTTTAAAAAAAAGCAGCATTTAAGTATATTTCTGATCAAATTTATGAATTATGTTATTTTTTATAAAACAAAAATACTGCTTCTAGTAATCTAAAGTACTAAAACTCAGTCATATATAATCTATGAAGCAATAAAAATGAAAATAGATTTACCCTTGAAACTTCTTTACTTGCACTGAATATTTTGTCTAACATAGATTTGCTTCTTAAGGAAAGGCTACAGATTTTAACCAAATCATGTTCCTAAAGTGGGATTTGAGGGAAGTTAAACCTGAAATCCTCATATTTGCAAGAGAATTTAATAGCCATATGGATCTCAGTACAGCAAGGAGATTACTGCAAAAATTTGTATCTTGGGAGGGAGTAGGGGAATGCGTGTTATATTTATACATGTATTTACAGAAATGCTGCTGGACTGTAATAGTGCTGACTTCTACATTGCTGCTATCTGGCAAGCCAATGCAATCAATGCAATAGGATTGAGATTCATTGCTGGCTTGGGATTCCCACCTTGATTTCTGGAAGCAGTATTATCCTTACAAAGGCTGAAAGCAGGAAAACTCTTATTTAACTGAGTTGGATTAAATTCACATTGACTTTCTGAGGCTGAGGGTTAAACATGTTCCCTTTACACGCACACATGACAGACCAGACTTGATACGAGTTCCACGAGTCCATGGATAAGGACAACAGCCTATTTCAGAGGATAGCTGTGCGAGTGTGTGAGATCAAAGCAGCCCCTCCTTGGGTGCCTACCTTCCGCAAAGGCTTCAGTTTTGTCTCCATGATGAACTCATACTTGCAGAGTTCGCAGCACCGCGTGTCAGAGCTCTTGATCCACTGCTGCAGGCAGGCTTGGTGCACAAAATGAAGACTTCCCGTGCAGTGACAGGGGGTAATCAAGGGGCTCTCATCATCTCCTTCACAGTGACATATCCTGTATCAGAAACAAAGCTGCTTATTAGGAGCAGAGGAAGCAAAAAGGATGCAGAGGGGGAATGTAGCATCTATGATCACATTTAAGGTTGTCCACTGAGGATCCTTAGACTTACACATCAGAGGAATATATGCTATAAAAGGAGCTGAAACTAAGAATCCCCTTGCCATGCACACACATACACACACCAAATAACTGAGCACACACACTGCTAACTAGAAAGCTTCTATCTACAGACAGCAGGCAGACACACAGAGCCTGACAGAAACCAGGCTTTTCAAAAGAAAAAGACAAGGTAAGAAGTGACAACTCTTCATCTACGAGAAGAATAGTGCTTCACTGAGAATARTATTTGAGCAGATCACCCAGCACTTCCCAGGATAAAACATGCAGAGATGCACAGCTACTTGTGGATTACTATTTAAAACAGAAGACAAAAACAAATTGCCCAAATCTACTGTGAAAGAGCCCATCCTAGAATTACGAGAAGTTAATTTAGACAGCCTAGATTTTGCATGAGCAAAGTGGTTTTTTTTTTTTTTTTTTTTTTTTTTTTTTTTTTTTTTTCTGTCTAGTGCAAATTGCTAAGAGACAGACCCACACTGCAAAGCTAGAGCACTGAATTTCCCCCACATACCCTTATTCTGAATGGACTGTTTTGCTCTCCAATTCTCACTTTTCAAGAGCTGCCAAGGAAGCATCAGGTCTGAAAAATCCCCCATTTCCCTCACTGCCTACTTGGTAGATAGTGGGGATGCCTGATAAAAGTGTTACTACCAGGTGGTGCTATTTCCAGTTTTAACATATATGCACGTGGTTTGCATCAAACATCCCTAAGTCCTTCTAACCATGTGAAGAGGTAACCTTAGAGATCATGAATTGAAAGGGGATAGTACGGAGCTGGGGAATAAGTTACAAAGCACGTATAAAGTATATCCTGGCATGCTGCCATCCCRGTCTATTACTGAAATTCCTTATTGACGTGGAGCATCTTGCCTCTTGCAACCCTGCYGATAGCTGGTAAATGGAAATGAAGGAGGGGGTGGGTTGCAAGAGCACGTTGTCAATGACAAGCCAGTAACAAACAAGATTTGGCTGGGAATAGGAATCAAATAATATTGGCAGGTAGTAGGAAAGCCAGCTTCAGAAAGCAAAGGCAGGGAGGAAAAGTTTGGGATAGAGAAATGCTATGTAGGGGGGTGTGATAATTCCTCCTGCACTTGCTGTCTCTGGCTCCTCAGGCACATTTTGGAGCTGGGATGGGGCAGATTTTCCAAAAACTCACCCTGAAGACAATCCAGAACTGCCTGTTCCTACCATCTGTGGACACGATTAATCTTCTGTGGCTGGAAGGAGGACGCRCGTCCTTTTTGGACCTCACGCTATGGACATCACACAAGCCAGTCACTAACACTCAGCACTCAAAGCCCCCTTTCACGCATCCAGAAAGCTCTTTGTAAACAAAACAGATGCAAACTGGGATAAAAGGATTTAAATCCCAAACCATATTGACCATATCTCAAAAGCAGTACTCAACAAACTCTCTTCCTTATTACTCCCCATCCTTAATCCAAGCCAGTAAAAACTCTCAATGACTCGAGGAAAGCATGTTGCTTATTAAAAGCTAAGAAAAGTTCATCTCGACCTTTGATATGTGCAGCTGATTCTCTCATTACATCCCCAGTTTGAGCCCCAATAAGAGAAAAATATCATCTCCCAACCCAAAACCTGAAACAAATTGCAACCGAATTTGACTCCAAAGGAAATTCTTTTGCTAGTCGATTTGTTAAGTGCATTAGAGGGGTGTGAGAAAGAGAGGAGGGAAGGCTGCACACTTCACACTGCACACATTAAAGCATGGCAAAAAGGTAAAAGGAGAGAGAGAGAGAAAGAGCACGACGGCAGAGAAAGCAGAATGGTCACCACCACACATGGGAGAGCCTAACAGGAGGCGGTTCTCCAATAAACCAACCTGCAGGTATCCCCCGAAGTAGACACAGGGGAGAGAGGGGGGTATTTTTCTGAGAGGGGGGAAGGACAGTCAAGGTCACTGTCCTTCTCAACGGAACAGAGCGGTGCCCGCTGCTCTTTTGTGCTCAGTCTCACTGAGGTGCTGTCCTCAAAGACGTCATCATCTCCCATATCATCAGAGCAGAAGTCTGTGCTCTCCACCAGCACGCTGGAGGATTTCTCAGCTTGGAAGTGACTGGARTAGCTCTCCAGCTCGAGGAACTTATGCAGGCTGCTGGCGCTGGAAGTGTGGGAGAAGGAAAAAAGGTAGCGCAGCAGTTTTTTGCTTCTTGAGGTGTCATGGTCCACCTTGTCCTCCAGCAAGGGGATATGTACCGTGCTGTGGTTCTCTGCTCCTCCCGATGCATTSGAGTAGTTGGAAAGGGAAGGGATGTAAGAATGTTTAGAATTGCTAAAAGAAAGACGCCCGAGATTCAGCGGTTTCCTTTCTTTAAGATGAAATTTGTTAATCCTTAAGCACTGCTCTTGAGTTGGGGTCAATTTGCCTTCCGAGCATGTTCGCTCCACATAGTCAAAGCACTCGCTGGTGCCCTGGGCCTTCTGGTCCACGTCATTGAGGGACTTGGAGAATTTCAGAGTGCGAGTGGGCTTTACATTCTTAGCAGASCTGAGTGCCTGGACCCAATCCTGCCCACGGGAGCTTCTCTTTGCTGCATGTAATGTGTCCTGACAGATTACTGTCACAGTGACCCCTTGTGTCAGATTGCTCTGGCAGTAAGGATTTTTCAAGACAACGGCAGACTGCACTGGACTGTGATGACAACATTCAGAAAACACTGCACTGGAACTGCATGCAGAACAGTGGAATAAAAGCACAGAAAGTAAAAACAATTACAATAAGAGAACACGTATAATTAAAAGTGAAGAAATGAGAGTTACAGCTARTGTGGGAATGGCAAACATAGAGGGCCAAACGGTGAGTGGGGCTGAAGGAAGCAGCGTTAGACAGCAGTCGAGTCAAACAAATGGGACATTTCTAACCAGGACCCCCCCCTTGCTTACTTCCCAGCACACAGGCTTTTTCAACTTCGATTTTTCTTAGCTCGAATCTTGCATGAGCCTCATCACAGTCACGGAAACAACACACTTTACCTGCAGATGTCCTGAGTGGATGGAGTGACAGAAGTCCGAGAGAAACTATGAGGAGCAGAGATAGAGGTTGGACTACCAGCCTGTAGTGAAATAAAAACAAACAAAAACAAAACAGAAGAAGCAAGTCACAGGTAGAAAGAGCTTGGTGAGCACTGCAGTTAACTTCAGGGTTAAACACAGCATATGGAGTCAACTATTGCACTGCATCTGACACACAAGGACTAGCTGCAAGAAAGGGAGGCGTTATTGCCATGCGCTAGGTAGGGAGGTCACACTACCTCATCCTTGGAAAAAGCAGTAATTGGAATACAAACGTTTCCCCCCAAGGTCAAATGCAGCTGCCTCTGGAGCGGAACTTGCCAGCTGTCAAATACTGCCCAGAACAATAGCTGAGGAAATGAGCAACGGTGCAGTGATTAGAGTAATTAGACGGAGGTGTGTGTACAGACAAGTCAGAATTTAGCTACCGCCTAATAGCTAATCCCTCCATTTATTTTGATGACAAGGGGTTGAAGGCTTGTTTTTCATGACACAGAGCCTCCAGCAATGCAGACACTGTGCAGGGACTTATTTTCAGCACTAGCATATGCACACGAGCACCATCTGCCAAAGCAGACCGTTCCCTGCAGCACTCCTCGTGCTCCGAGGCCTTTCAGCCCGCCCTGGTTCTGACAGGGTCTTCCACCTACTTGCAGAAAAGGTGCGGCTGCAAACCCATTTACAAGACCTGACAAGACCACGGCGAGAAGAACAGCTGAAGAATTCAGAGTTCAGCTGAACTAACCCATTCTCCTTCCCATTCCCCCACAAAATCTAAGCTTTYGGCCTATTTACCACTGAGCAGACAAACCTCTAACACCACTATGGTAAAAAGACTCTTGTTTCAGTTAGAATCAGGTGGCCTTTTATYAAAGGCTTTTCCTGCCACTATGCTCTGGACCAGGATCACTCATGAAAATCCCTCAACCCTTCCTCAAGGTTTTAGAGCAGGAGACCTGTTCCGATGACATCTTTACAGATGGACTGGCTCTCCCACCCAGTTTCTCCACTGCTGCAAAACACAGCACCCACTTCTGAATTCAGTCAAAGGTTCATAGCTCTTTTGATTTGCAAAGCAAAGCTTGATGGTCACAAATGAACAGTGGGGTCAGCGTAGCAGTAGGACTGTCAACAGGCTGCTTTGCTGTGCAAAGCCAGCAGAGCAGGGACCCAGGCACGCAGGGGCAGGCAAGGAGACCACCCCGGGACACAGGAGCCTCCACGGGAGCCACCACGGATTTGAGGGTCTCTGTCCACAGCCCGTGCACATACAACATCCAACTCGGGCCTGATTGATTCCATATTTAATCCAGTAAAAGCCTCTACGGCCTCCTTTAACAAGACTGCTGCAGGCTTTAGCAAATTGCTGGCAAAAGCGAGGTCCCTTGCCACACAACATACTTCTTGTGAGCGAAGATGGATGTGCTAGCTTAATGCTACTTCATAAATAAAAATGCAAGTGGCTTCAATGTGAAATGACTCAGCTGGTAAGGTTGCCCTTCTGCAGCCAACAGTACTGAAGGGGACAATGTTCCTGGCCTCCCATGTGGATGACTTGGGTGCCCCGAGACCAAACAACCAGGTTTCCATCTACAGGTCTGCAGGAGTTGAGGGCAAGACCCAAACACACATCCCTGGATCTGTAGCAAGAACTTAAGCTGTTTCCAATCCCACCCTAGCTAGGTACAAGATAAAAACAAGAGAACAACTTCAGAACATGCAACTGTGTTTCTTACATAGTTCTTTACCCACCTGCACCATCCCATTCAGTCATATAGGATGCTGATCATACAGTGAGGTAAATTCAAATATTTTCTGTAAATTTTCTATGTTACTCTCAGTTTTTCCTGAAAGTAGGTACAACTCTGACTTTAAATCCTCTCTTTCAAAAAGAGTTTGCACAGTAATTATCCTTTTTTCAAGAAAGACAAGTTAGTGAAAGATGTGACGTGTGGAACTGCTATAATTATGCAAATGAAGATTAATAAGACTTAAGTAATGAATTATTTAAAAAGACATTTTTAGCAATCTTGTAAAAACAAAAYATTGAACCAGTAAAACAGTGTGCTGCATTGTAACATGGAAACAGAGCCATATACTGGAACTGAAGTCACAAATCAGCTAATAAATCTGTTTTAGGTTTTCTGCTACGAGCACAGCASAGAGGGTAACCTGCATATAAAGAATCTACATGCTCTACTTTTTCACTTTAGGAAAGAAACACCCTGGAAACAGCACATACAGACAATCTAATAGCAGATTACTAGAATCAGTGATGCAAAATTTCCCTTCCAAACCCATTATATYGGTTTCTTAATCCAGCTGCCTGGATTAAGGCAGAAGTAGTGTCAAAGATACAATGCTTGGGAAATTAAAAGGCCTGGACAGGCAAARGAATACAAAAATTCATATGCATTTTAAAAGCATTATTCTCTTTCTCACACCAAACTGCAGCCACGCACTGCAAACTTTCCCACTGCTCTACTATTAATTCTTCTCATTTGCCAGTGAGAGACAAGAACCCTTAATATTAGAAACCAGAAAAGAAATCTAGGCCGACGCAGCGAAAAATACATATAAAACATAAACACCATCAGAACCTTTGCAAAGCTCAGCAGACTGCAAATGGAAGCGAGAAGTACAGCCAGTTATTCCAATAGTGCCTCTTGTCAAGCAGCAGTCTCTAGATGCCAGTACTGCCCTGGACAGCTTGCAAGAYCAAATCAAGCACATTTCCCGTTCCTCCTCCAGTGTCTTCCTGTTTCTGCACAAGAAGCCTTCTTTTGCTTCACATAATGCAAATGCAACCACAAAACAAACATAACCCCAACGTGACCACACACTGCAAGGCAGAATGGTACACGTCTGGAGATGCTACCTGCTCCTGCACCTCAGTTTTCCCTTAGTGGAGCTGTGGCTACTACAGAAAGACACAGTCCAATTTTCTTCCCATCTCATTCCTCCCTCTCTGCCATCCCTCCCATGCTTTGGGCTCATGAAAGTGTTTATATAGCTGCATTGCAAATTGCAGAATATGGTACTGAGATGAGTTCAAAGCAGCCATTTCTTTTGCCAGGTCTCTTTCATGCCTCACCTCAGCTGGGGCAGAGCAACAAGGTTGGGACCCTCTACCCATGCAGCACAACTCACTGATGAGRGGAGCACAGTAAAACACAAGCTGCTGCCTAGGGACCAGGAAGAACATTTCTGCCTCTCCTAGGCAAAAGCAGCAGGCAGAGCACACTGGCCAGTCACCAGAGCTCAGACACGTTCGCTGAATCAAGACACAGCCTCTGTAGAGCAGAGAGGTGCAACAGCAGGGAGAAAATATTGGCAGCTCAGCAGAACAGGGCAAAGAGGTGACAGGATGGACGTAGGCAGCAGAGAGGCAGATCCAACAAGCACGGAGCAGGGCCTGTCTCCTCACACAAGGGCACAGCTCCAAAGAGTTCAGTCTTCACTAAACTGTAGCTGCTTTGCACCATCCCCAGAGCCCCTCACAGCCCCCCCATTCATTAAGTAGATTACTTATGGTGAGAACAGCAGGCAGTTTAAAGCACTCATTATGYGAGTTTTCTGCCATGCTGATTATGTAACAGGCATTCTAAACAGTAACAAACCCAAGTTCTACCCTTCTAAAGCCAGAATCACACGCAGAACCCCCCGGTAGACTTCCACATCCTTGCTCCGAGCATCATCTCCAACAACAAGCTTTGGGAATTACACGCTAGCGAGCTGCCCAGCACACCCACACTGGTTGCCCAAAATAGCTCAGAATAAAGGTCAATAGGCAGTTAACTGTGTGTATCGACATTCCAATCTCATGCAATTCAGGGAGGTCGCCGTGTGCTCCTCCACGCCGGCACTCGGCTCAGCGCAGTGTTTCTGAAGGTGGCAATCGCTGGAAACCTGCAGCTCTCTCCAGACTCGCTGTCAGTCGTAGCTGCTCACTCTCCTGCTGACTAAAATCRGACTTTTTAACTAAAAAAAAGAAAAAAATGCCTGCCTGTGACTACATGCTGCCCATCAAAAAGCAAAAAGGAAACAAGTRATCTTCGCAGGGAGCAGTGGTGAATATGTGAATGGCTTGGGTATATTCCAAAATAACCTGCTCCTCTGAGAAGGCACTTCTGTATTTAGTTCCTGTCATCCCTCTTTGGGCTGCACTTCACTACCAGCAATTACACCTCATTTGCTGTCACATCTCTAACAACTTTACTAAATTACTCACTGAAGGCAGGAAGTTAAAAACAGCTCAAGAATTCCTCCATTGATTAGAAGTGTCTGATGGGGAGGAAACAAATAGGTTTTCGCAAAACTGCAAAGCTCGTCACCTGTAGGTGCCACATGTTTTAGAACCAACACTGTTGCCTTATTATTTGTGCTACAGRAACGCCTAGATCTTTCAACTGTGGACTTAGAATTCGCATGCTAAGCGTTATACAAGTTTAATAGTAGAGCATATCTCTCCTTTGGACTTACAACTGATGATAGGACAGATACAGAGTTAGAGAAAAGAAGCAGTTCTAAGCTTTTCACCTGGAACTTGTGGCACAGGGAGCTTCAGAGAGATCTTGATTAAACCCAAGAGATGCACCCAGCTACTCCCTGGCGCCACTGCAGAACAAGTAACTGTTTGACTCCAGTTAGAGCTGCTGGCCAAGCTGATACCTTCACAAGGACACCACGCAGGTGTATTTTCATCTTTTCTGCAAGACCCTGGCTGAGTGGGAATGATGATTTTGATGATGATCTGCTCTTGTAAAGTCTCCAGCACTTAACTCTGGAAAAGACATTGCCCTCTCACTGCACGAGCACCAAAAGAGACCACAAACTGAACCAGCACATGCAGTCCGCAGTGCAGCAACAGGGATAACCAGTCATGCTGAGTGCACCTGCTCAAAACAACTTCTTCAGGAAGTGCCCTTCATACCTGTATGAAGGCATGATACTAATAAGGAGGTGCCAGTAGCAATGAGTAGCAATCTCACTAGGGAGATTGTTATACTCAATACAAAAACTTTATAGCACTGTGTCCAAGCACAACTTTTCATGCTTTTTGGCATGGTTTTCAGAAAGAACATACCTTGACCTTCACACGATACAATTTTTCCCCTCTTTTCCATCCCCAGGAGCTCAGTAGAAGCAGATTTTGTTTATTAGTTTAAGCTACTTCTCCGCTTCACTCCCCTGTCCCTCAAATCAGCTCACACCCCTGGAAAAAAAACACCTCTGAGAGCAGTTCTTTGCAGTAAACCTTGGTCATCTGATGTGCTACAGGACAACTAAGCTCAGTGATTGAAAAATCTGGACTGCTTTTCCATGGATGGATGCTCACTGAATCCTTCAAAGCTTTAGGCAAGAGTGGATGTGTATATTCATATGCTTTTCTAAATCTGTTCCAAGCTGATGAACAGCCTAAATGGATTTTAAATTTCATAGCAAGCTTAGGCTACCACTTTGCATCTGCATTGGCTGCCATTCAGCCCAAGAATAATTTAATACTTGACAGTGTGCTTCGGCTCAAAAGATAAAGCTGTACGAGCCTTCAGAAAAGACAAAGCATTTACATTTTTTAAAGACTGCACTTTTGATTCCTTTGCTCTGATCCCAGTATTTGCATTTTCAAAGCTCACCCCTTAGAGGGCTACAAAAACAAAACAAACAAAAACTACTAGCCTGAAATCATCCCTCCAGAGCAATAAGATGACAGGAACAGTACACAGATGACCTGAAGATATTTCCATACATCACATCATCACTGTCGGGGTCACCCAGACACTTTAAAGAAAAACAATACCACTAATTATGGGATAACCACTTACAGACCAATGTTTTTAGTGACCTCATTTAATCTGCTCATTAGCAAAATTCCATTATTCAAGAGCAGAGGACATGAATTACCATTACTGTGAAAATCCCTTATTTAGCTGCTTTCAGTGTCTGGCTGTTTTAGGGTCAAATCTATTTATATCTAGAAGTTGAGGCTTCTGTTATGCTTAATTATATCCTTGTGTGGCTTGTACCACTAGGGCACTTGCTAATAAACCTCTGTGACTTCTCAGCAAAAACGCTGGTTCAGCTGAGCTGTGCCCTGTATATATCTGTGCAAATCAGGAGCCTTTCAATCAGTGTCAGCTGAATGGTGCAAGCTTGGAATCTGAATCCCATGACTAAATCAATTCAACCTGGCTGTAATACTGTCTATTTTTCTATTTCAAAACAAATACAGGAAAGATTCCAGAAATTCAAACACTTCTTGTGGAACAGATTTAAAAGGAATGTTTGAAATATACACACCAAAAAAAAAGGAAAGACAGGTCTGGAGGGATGCCATGTCCCCCAGTGTGCAACAGACTGCACAAAACCTAATAGCACCATATGAAGATCCTCCTACATCTTATCCCCTACTCCCTTTCTGCTGCTTCTGGCCTCCATCCCCAGCCAAATGTTCAGGCTCTTCCTTTTATTCTTCTTGCCTTGGCCTGGCCACATGTACGAGCACCTCCTCAGCATCTGCCTCTTGGAGGACCTTTCAGCCCCTTCCTCCTGAAGGAGGGCTCCACCTGGTCCCAACACGTGGGGTCTACCTTCAGTTGGGTCCTGCTACCCCTACCAGCTGATCGCTTTCTTAGTGGTACCATCTGTCTGCCTTACTCCCTGATCACTTTTAGCCCTAGGGCACTGAATCCTTTCCTTAGTCACACTGAGTAACGCAGCATCCTCTCTTGGCTAGAAACTGAGATCTGACTCAATCCTTCCCACTCCTATTGCATTTTACAACTGAGGGCAGTGGAAAGATACTCGGCATTAATCACAGCAGGTTCATAATGACATAGCATCACCAGAAAGGACTTTGAATCGAATCTTGATGCCAAGCGTTTGTGACAAGAAGCTAGATTTGAGTGTAAAATGAAAGGCTGTAACAGTCATTTGCAGGAAGTGTGATTATTATTTCTGAACACATACAAATGATTATATTCAATTTTTGTTAAATAGCCGCTCTTAAAATTCTGTAGCGTTAAAAAGCTTGAAGGATTCTAAAGGGGCCATAAAGACAGCCAAGCATGTTGATATATTTTTTTTTCCTCTACCTGTACTGGCCCCTTTCTTATTGGCCAGGTTGGTGTATTCTTCTAAAGAAAACAAATAAAAGCAAATTGAACTTTCCTTTTAAACCCCAAAGCTAGTGAACAATTTTCCACGTGCTTATACTTTCACCCAGTATTTCACTACCAGAATCATTTCTCGTATGTCCTATAAAACTTTAAAAGCCATCCTAACAGCAGACTGCAAAGTCATTTGTAGCAGCTTATAACCAGATTGTCTGGACGCTCAACCAGCATTCAGAGGAATGAGGTGACTTGTTTCACTGAGAAACTTCCACTTCTTGCTCTTGTTAGAAGAGCAGAACAATGTTCGATCAGATGCAGGGGCAAAACAGAAACATTAAGGGCACTAACATCTCCAAGAAGCTCCCATTCAGAACCAATACCTTTTATGTTGGGCTGGCAAAGCTGACTCTTGCTCCCCTGGAGAACCTGAGCTTTCACAGCACATCACCATCACTCTGAACTGTGCAGCATTTCACGAATGCAAATACTGCCAGCACTTGATCTAATGCAAGGTTCTTCCCTCTGCACTRCCACCTCTCTATGAATAACGAATGGTCTGTGCAGCTGGTTTGAGTATGTGTCTTCTGCTGAGCCTTGGCTCCACTGGGAGTAACAATCTAAYGTGTATCCAACTGCTACTGCTGGTGAAAGGCCTGCTATCCTGAATTGCACACATCCTAGGAAAAGTGCAATGGTATCTGCTGGTAAGAGTAGCTTCTCTGCTGACCTACACCTGAAAATCCAATTAGGGATACCTAAGAGAAAAAGAGCAAGGGTAAGAAGAAACGGGCACCGTTTTGGAAAAGTACAAATCAAAAGTAATGCTCAGAGTGCTTTCAAAACACTGAATGCAAAACACAGTCATGCCCAGTGTTTGCAGTTCTGTAAGCAGCAGTTATGCTTCCAGCTAATTAAAAAACTCCTTATTTGGTAAGCAGAAGTGAGAGTRGGGCATGTACCATACAATGAGTTATCTGTGACAGAGAAGACAACTTGTTTTTTGCTGGCCACATAGCAAAGTCATTGTGTTTTAATGGGTCCACCCGTTATATTCTGGTATGACTAGAATGGATGTCCCTTACAAGGTCACTCTTTGCCATATCGAACATTCTAGATAYTTGGTCTACATATATGGTCATGTCTATGTAGCAATGCATTTCATAACCTCACCAATAACTTAATATTGAAGTGACAACAAAATAACCTCTAAAACCCAAAACATACTAGGGGATATGTAAATATAGCTTGCAGAATAAGCAAACTTATGTGAATTACGTTTTTGGAGCATCTTCCCCCTCCTAAATAAGATCTCAGGCACCTGTTACCCATCTGCTCTTACCAAGCTAAGGATGTCGACAGTGCAAAAGTGGAGACCTATATTTTGGGATGAAGTGGATTTGTCCATAAAGAGAGTCTGCAAAATAATGGAATTCTGAAGTGTCAACAGAATGACTGTCAASTAGAGATACTCATAAGCAGCATTTGCTGCCAGTCACATTGTCACATTTATCATCTCAATTTTAAAATGAAAGAAATCCCAGTACTTCCAAATTTATCAAAGATTGAGAGTTGTGCTGAGGCACATACCTTTGAGATGTTACTAGAACGGCTCACAGAATGCCCCAGAGCCTTTTCATTCTGAAAAAGAAAGAACAGGATCAATGCAGCAACAGATCACAGTTAGGATATTTTAAAGCTGATATTAGAAATGAAATATCATGGCAAAAGAACGTGCCATGAAATATCATGGAACGATAGTTTTTAAGGATGTTGCTTCATTTAAATCAACATGAATTTTACAACAATCACCAATCTGTTTGGTTTGACATGTAATTACCGTAAAGAAAATCAAAGAATCAAGATAATTACAAACTAAATATTAAAAAAATGACCTCTTCTATCAATGCTGCAAAGCCCTTTCCTCAGATGTCAGCTATTTTGAAAGGGCTATCTCTTGGCTCTGCCTCACCTACAGGAAAACGCCAGCATCCAGCCACTTAAGCTGTAAATTCTTAGTTAAAACAAAAGTATCCCAGTGATGTGAGGAAATATGGCCCAATAACCACATCCATGTCATTTCATGAGACAAAACAGAGTTACTAAGGAACTTTCCATTTACCATAGAACTCTGAATTCAACTGGAAACACCATATAAGARTTGCAGAAGTTGCAATTTTTAAAACTGAATCAGTGATGACTGTTCCCATAACTCACTTTTCACTGCGCAAGCCCTGACTGATGACAATCTTTCCACCTCCTATCAAAATATAGTGTAGGTTTCACCCTGATATTTCATCGGATATGGGTTTCTGCTTTCTGAACACTAACCGTTTATGCTAAGTACACTTGAATAGGATCGTTTCACTGTTGAGAAAACTATCTGTAAAGGCATGTTCTTTGCTTTTTGTATAAAATCYAACAAGAACCTCTTTTAGGCAAATAGTAGAGACAGAGCAAGTCATGACAGTTGGTTACAGATCAGGATCTACATTCCTCTAAGTTTGTGAAGTTTAGATATGAAAAGATCTGAGTCAGATAAAAAGAACAGGACAATTTTACTACATTCTTGTATGAGCTCTATACTGGCTAAGATGTCCTTGAAGTGCCTCCTTTTTTTGAAAATGTCTTTCAGCCAACATTTTAGGGCCCAAACCATCTCACCTTCACTTGTCTATTCTCAAAAGGAAAACACTAGATTAAAAAATCCAGTGGAGCTTGGGGACAGAAGTCCCCCATACATACCAAGCAGGGACACAGAAAAAAAGCCAAGTGCAATTATTGCATAATGCACACATGTTTTAGGCCTGATGGCTGTAAGTCACTATAAATGACCTTTAATGACTAAAGACCACATGCAGACAGCTCGTGCTACAGTGCACAGACATAAGACCTGTGTTTTGAAATCCCTGGGATCCTTTGAGACCTTGGTCCCTGCAACTCATTTCTAGAGCAGCTGAAAGCTCTATGCTGAGGAAAACAACAGGCAGGGCAAAAACTTCATCGGGTGCTTTTAAAAGCAGGCAGGCTCTTCCTTTCCAGCAGTGCTTCTCTCCCCGTAACGCTCAAACCTGGGCCACACCACACGATCCCCAAAGCAGGGAGACATGAGGCCACTTCATCTCTGCTTGCCCTCCCTGATCACCACTAAGCCCAGCACGTGGGCAAGCCTGGCAAGGAGCAGCAGGGATACCACTGAGCAAGGAGTGGAGCAACAGGACTGGTTGTCTCAGAGCACAGTGATGGGCACTTCCTTGGCTAGGGGATATGAACAGCACTTTCTTCCTTAAAATGTGGGAAATGCAGCGTCCTAAGATGCTCTATACGTAGGAGTTAAGAAGACAGTAAAATGTTCCTTCAGAAGAAGAAAGGAGAGGTAACCCAATAAAAAAATCAGCAAGGACCAATTTAAGACCTGAATAACTGTGGGCCAAGTTAACCATCGACTCCAAAGCCAGGTTTGCATAGCRCAAGGCTCCGTCTGATTACAGAGAAGCCAAAAAGTTCCTATTACCTGCATGTCAGTATTCCTGGAACCAAAACAAACTGTTAAAAAAACTTCTAAGAACACAGGCAGGGCACGTAGGTGAGGACTAACATCAGACTGGGCTACTGCCAAAACTGACATCAACTCCAACTATRAGGGAAGGAAGTAGCTAAATTTCATCAGAAATAGTGTAACTATAGCAACAGGAAAAAAAAAAAGTTCAGTGAAGATACAGCAGGCAAGAGAAGGAGGAAAGGGAAAAAAAAAAAAGAAAAGGTGGCAGGGACACGTTCACATGTTCTCAAGCTATGACGAAAGATGCCCAGCGCAAGCTGGAGRGCACACAGATTTGCACCACGTAGGTGTGAGCTGGAAGTGGGTCCTACTTGTCCAGCCTTACTGGGCTGTGTGGGAGGTAAGCAAAGAAAACCATGTGGGACAAGGGAAAACGATAACAAACAACAAGACTGGTACTCAAGAGGTCTGTCTGAAGCAGGACACACAGCCCAGGCAGGTGAGGCTCTCATGCCCAGCCTAAGATTTCAGGGTTCCAGGGTGATCTAAAGACAAAACTAAAGGGGCAGAGATTGTTCCCCTTAACCCAAGGACCCTCAAACACTGCTCTCTAGCTGACAAYGATGTCTGTGAAGGAGTGCGACTGCACATACCCAGGCACCTGTGTTGGAAAGGAGGAGCTGAAACTCAGTGAGCACGAACAGGCTGGAGCACAAGAGCTGCATGTGCACAACAGGGCAATGATGCAGAGCAAACACACTCCTAGCCACCCCGCAGAAGCCAGTCCAGCTCCTCTGCTCCCACGATCTTCATTTCATCTGATGGACATCTGAGACACACATTTCATAGCATCTTTATTGACCTATTACTAGAAACATGCCTATCAGAGTTTCCAATCAGTATAGGATAGTGTACAGTTGATTTTGTTATTGAGGGGTCATTTTTAAACAAAAGAGGAGTTCTTAAAAATATATTCATTTAAGGAAGAGGCAGTATCAAGGAATTGTAACTGACTCAGGAGACACTATCAGATCCAAGACAGATTTGCAAACACAYGCACAAATACTTCAGTTTGCCCAGTCTCAAAACCTGAAAGCAGCATCAGCACCCAGGTAACTGCTTCAGCCTCTGGGTCACAGCTGGCCCTGATTTTGCCTGTCTTCTTGTCTAAATTTACTGAATGAGAGAGATTTTTTTTTTTTTTTTTTTTGAAACAACTGATCCAACTCTCTGGGTTTTCTCTCACGTAAGACTTTAAAACCAGGAGGGCTGATAGCAGGTTAACCACCAAGTTTCACTGTGCAGCAGCAATCTGCAATTCACTGTGACTGCTTGAGAGGCACCCCAGCAAAAAGAACATATAGCACTCTCTTTGCTCTGCAAAGCACCCCAGAGTTATTTTATTTAATCATTAAACAGCAACAAAAATACTTCTAAGTAATACAGTCATAACTTCTAGCTGGGCTGTTTCATTCTCTTTTATAAATAWAATGATAAAAATCTATTGTTAAGGAAAAAGCATGCTGGAAACTATTAAATAGATCCTCTATCTGCTGGCAGTTCCTATACAGTGATACACAAATATGCTGTGATACATAAGTATGCTGTATTATTTCCAGGCACTAAGACAAAAAAAAAGGCTGTTGAAAAGAAAAAAAGAAAAAAAAATAATGAAAGGAGCTGCTGGAACAGGTGGATTTTAACAGCAATGACTGTAGCCACAGGAGGGACAGAAATGTGAAATAGATATGATTTAATTAAAAGGCAAAACAAACAGAAGGTCCTTGTTCACACCATATCCRTTATCAGAACACTCATCTTGGGATCTTCCAGACCACTCACAAAGCAGCACTAACACGGGAGTGAAAAGGCTAAGCCTCTATTACGGTTCCATCATTACCCAGTCAAGGTGTTGGGAGATTTTTCTCCAGCACGTCCCCATCGCACAGCAAGACACACTCTAGTGTGGCAATTACAGCCCCAAACACGCTCTCTCCCCCTTGCAAGAGCAATAGCCTTTGCACTTAACGAAAGGTCAAGACAAATACAGCATCTACCAACACAAACCATATGATTATCTGATAAAGCGAGGGTAGTTCTTTCAGCAGATTAATCCTTCCGTATGGGATAAGGGGAATCCTGCCTTTTGAAATGCGTCCTACTCAACTAGGATCACTAGAACCAGGCACTTAAAAACAGTCAAAAATAACAAGTGCTGCAGGACTTTACTTCTTCTGAGCCACTGCCAGCTGCAACTCTGCACTTCCCACCAGAGCCAGATGTTGGGGAAGCAAAGAGAAGGGCAGAGGCCGGGAAATTGCTGGAAGACAGGAAAACTGCTCCTGCTTCCAATACTGGTATGGAAACGTGTAGCTCCAACTCTGGACTCTGCCCTTGCCAGCCTCACCCCGTCCACTTCTTTTTTTCCCTTTTCCTCTGTGTCCTCGTGGGTTTGCTTCCTGCTGCAGAGGCCGAGCTGCCTCCCTGCCAGGCCTTCCCACCCTGCTCTTCCCGCTCTTCCCGCCCTTCCCCTTTCCCGGCTCCCACCAGGCCTCACTTCTCTCCGCTACCTGCTCCCTCCTCTCACTCCAGAAATGTAAAAGCAGGCACCTCCCATCCTCCCATTTATTGCACCCTGCTGCATTTAGCACTGCAAATTGTTTTACCCTTGCTTCCCTACTGCAATAGAGCCATTTCCCAMAAAACACAACAGCTATGTAAATAATATGGCCAAAACCAGGGCCCACTTGCAAATACAAAAGCACAAGTTATTATTAACTGAGAAACAAAGAGCATTTCCACCCACTGCTAAGGGCTCTGGCAGCCCCAACTGCCCCTGTGGGCTTACAGCAGCAGTGTGCCCCACCGGTTCCCCTTCTAACTCAGATGGAAGAGAAAAATCACAGAAAAAATACCTTGGTAAAGTGACCTGAGTTTCATGTATCTTTCCCCCCGCCAGCCCAATGAACAGGGTAAGCAAAGAGGGAGGTGGTCCCACAGCCTGAGCAGCCCCCTCCACCTCACAGCTGCATCCCCTCCTCAAGGGGACGAGGGCTAAGCCCAGCCTCTCCTATGCTCATCATCACAGGGAGGAAACTGCAGCCTGATCTATCCCAAGGGCTTAGGCCGGTGGGCTTTA